ATTTAGTTGTGCATGGGCATAAATATATTAATGAAATAATAACACCAATTTCATCTATTTGCCAATTCGTGATCAATGTGTATTTTATTGCCTTTTGAAACAATATTATACATGCATCAGCCTATATTCCAGGGCCTGAGTTAACAACGGACCCCTATGGAGAATGAACGTTGAAACAGGATTCGGTCAAGCTGAGAGAGCATAGAGTGTTAGTTTGTTGTTTAACGGCGTACACAGCAATGTTCTTGCTATTGGATGTCAGTCTGTAAATAATTAATTCTGGACAAGATAATCCAGTGATCAACATTAAGAGCACCGGGTGAATGTGTAGGAAGTAGGTGGTTGGGTGAGTGAGTGAGTGGGTGAGCGGCCGCGTCACTATTCAAATACATGTACTCAACAGCCGCTTGATATTCTGAGTGCCCAGATAAAGGTTAATCTGACTGGATGTTTGGAGATGTTGGCGTGCGAATTGGATGCAGTTTGGGCATGGAACTGACGCGTGTTGAGTGAGTGAGTGAGTTTAGTTTTACGCCGCACTCAGCAATATTCCAGCTATAAGGCGGCGGTCTGTAAATAATCGAGTCTCGACCAGACAAGCCAGGGATCAACAGCATGAACATCGATCTACGCAACTGGAATACGATGTGTGAACCCAGTCAGCGAGCCTGACTACCCGATCCCGTTAGTCGCCTCTTACGGCAAGCATGGGTTACTGAAGATCAATTCTAACCCGGACCTTCACGGGTGACGCGTGTTGAAAGCCGTTGGGTGCACACACCTATTGTGCCCCGGAATACATGCACATCTGAAGTGCAGTATATGCCTGGAAGAACCATGCGATAGGGACCAACCAACACACGGACGTCAAAACCTGACCAAGGTCCACAGACTACAAGAACACCAAACCCGTGATGATGCGAGTTAGAACTGGTTTTCAGCAACCCATGTTTACCGTGCCGACTAACGGATGGTCAGGCTCGTTAACTTGGTTGACACATGCCATCCTATCCCAATTGCATAGACCGCGATGCTCTTGATCTTGATCGCTGGATTGTCTGGTCTCGACTCGATTATTTACAGACCGTTGCTATGAAGATGGAATATTGCTGAATGCGGCGTCCAAGACAAGCTAAAACAAGAACATCAGCGGCTCAGCTTTGAACATTTTTTCAGTTAGCGGACATCGGCTACTTTCGGGACTTTCCCCAGCAAGTGTAGAAGTTGATCAATATCAACGCGAATTTAGGATGAGATTACCTGATGGATCGAGAAGGCAACTCGCACAGCAAACTGCGACGTCTTAGATAACTGCGACACCGGCATGTCGCTTGGAATTTTTACCCTCCAGTTACAAGATATAGCTCGGATGCACTCTCCTTATCTGAGATACATGCAGTCAGCAGAGTACCCCTGCCACGATTCGTCACATCTTACACAGTCCATTCAAGATGGCTTGGTTGACACATGTCATCGGTTCCCAATTGCGCAGGTCGATGCTCATGCTATTGATCACTGGATTGTCTGGTCCAGACTCGATTATTTACAGACCGCCGCCATATAGCTGGAATATTGCTGAGTGCGGCGTAAAACTAAACTCACTCACTCCATTCAAGATATTTGCATATGTTTCTCATATGTTGCAATTTCGATGTGTCTAAACATCTAGATAAACATATGTGACAGAATGGATTACTGTCATTGAAAACAACTCCCAAAACATAAAAAATAACTATTTCCAATTGCGTATTTATCCGTTGCTAGCATTGCTTGTACCTCTCCATGTTCTATAGGGGCGGTGGGGTAGTCTAGTGGTTAAAGCGTTGGCTGGTCACGCCGAAGACCCGGGTTCGAATCCCCACATGGGCACAATGAGTGAAGCCCATTTCTGGTGTCCCCCCGCCGTGATATTGCTGGAATATTGCTAAAAGCGGCGTAAAACCAAACTCAGTCAGTCAGTCAGTCCATGTTCTATCATCGAAGTCCCACAGAAATGCTTGTGATACGGTCACTTTAAATATATTATCATGCATACCAATTTCGCAGCTGTTTTAGCATATTTATATAAATAACCTTCTACTAAGCCGGTCTCTTCTGATTTCAGAATCAGCGCTTTTGTTTACAAACAAGAAAAACGTCCGGTCACGTGATATGCAGATTAGCCTGTAGGAGTGATGTAATGCCGAGTTATGACTGTGCTGGAGCGTTGCTCTGATGATGATCAAGTCAAACGTATGTCAATCAAGTTCCTCCTAGTTTCGTGGCTGATACGCTGAAAGGTGTTGTAAATCCGTCTACTTTCATCCTGTATACACGGAGTATTATCATTATTGGTCTCGGTAATTAAGGCGGTAATAACGCATATTAAACCCACGAGGCTGGGCATAAAGCACGGGCTGCACGAGCAAACGCACCTGTCACGTCCCACATCAAAAAGCCCGTGCCCGTGAGCTGTGGAGGGGAGGTAAAAAGATCCATATAGATGTCGATCTGAACTCCAAGTACCACATTGAGATAAAAGGTCTGCGGCCATGTACGCGCATATCTGCATATAGTCTATACATACACACATGCCTACATAAATATCTCATGTTATCGAGAGTAGTATATAAATCGTATTATGTCGGAACAACGAGTGCAAGTTGGTACTCAAGCGGATGCGATGGTGTCAGTGTTTTGGTGCAGTGGAGATATGGATGGTAGTAGTTGGTTTGGCAGCTTGGAGATAAGACCTGCATCGTGAACCTATACGTGTTAACAATATGTCTTACAGGGGTATCATTGGGTTTAATGCAGATTTAAATTGGCTCCCATATCATGAATGACATCACAGACAAGTCAGTTTATCCTCAGTTCTACTTGTTGGGCGAGGCTGGATTAAAGAAGTGAGTTTAGTTTTGGGCCGCCTTTGGCAAGATTCCAGCAATATAGGGGGAAAGACTTCTGCCCGTATCCCCCCTTAAATGTCATTCTAGTCAAATTATATTACCTGAATATATATTCCTCATCTGATAGGATGAGTTTTAACATATTTCTTTAATTGTATCTGAACATACCAAAAGACATATCCAACTTCTAAAAATGCCACTCAAAGAAATTTTTCCTCATCGTTAAGATTTAGGGGGGATACGGGCGGAAGTCTTACCACAAAGTGAAACAATCACGGTCAAAATACATGTATATGGATGATTATAAGATAAGAAATCATTTGCTGCACTCATTTTGTCTTTCTTTCTTTATTCGGGTTGAAGAACTGCTCAGAACATTGAACGTCATATCACTTCTCAGATCAACCAGCCACCCCTGCCCAAAGTGCAGATCATTTACGTGCTGCTTTCTTATAAGTGTTAGGAGGCGATTTAACAGAAATAGAAATCACTGTTTAGTTTAACGATTCGTGTAGGTAATAAATGATGTGAGGTGGAGAATTCAAGTTACGCCGCACTCAGCAAGTCCACATACATGTGTATGCCCCGCGGCCTTAGTTTAAATAAACAGATCTTGACTCGACAATCCAGTGATTGACATCATGAACATCGATCTACGAAATAGAGATACGCGAGTGAGTGAGTTAGTTTAGTTTAACGCCGCTTTTAGCAATATTCCAGCAATATCACGGCGGGAGACACCAGAAATGGGCTTCACACGTTGTACCCATGTGGGGAATCGAACCCGGGTCTTCGGTATGACGAGCAAACGCTTTAACCACTGGGCTATCCCACCGCCCCAATAGAGATACGATCAACGGAGTCGAAAAGCCTGACCTGATCCCGATCTTACAAGTATGGATTGCTGGAGACCAATTCTAGCTCGCATCGTCTGACAATGAAACAACGACGTAACATGTTAATGAGATCATTCTGGAAGAATGTACCAGTATTTTCTTAATATAATCAAAGAAACATTAACTACGTAAATATCTGACACATCATTGTATGTTTTGCTAACTCAGTCATACCTAATAATATCAACGACGTAATTCATTCAATTTGCCCACAACGCAGATACTGACACCTTTAAGGGAGGGTGGCCGTGTTTAGCGGTAGAGTGCTCGCCTTCAACGTCTCGTAGAGACTGAGTGTTCAGTGTGTGACAGCGATATCATTAGTATGGTGTGTGATGGTTTATCAATGAAATAAACAATTTCATGGTTTATGGGAAAGGATAAACAAACAAATTAAATTGTGATTTATATAAACAAACTGCACACCTCAAAACAGTTAACGTGGCTATATCCTGACTGTAGGAGCTACATAATTATTGTCTCGTGGAGATTTCTAAATCTTGACATGTTCCGAAAATGTGAAGAACACTTCTATACACTGTTTTAACTAAAACATGCGCTTTACGTGTATCTACAATATAAAATATAAAACCTATTAATCAGCCACGAAATATCACCGTCACCACACAACCCCAACTCCGCGAGAATACAGCCAAAACTCTGCCAGAAGATCGTGAAAGATTGTCTATGATATGCAGAAGTTCCTCAGGACGAAATAAGCATACCAAACGGACATATCATACCAAACGGACATATCATACCAAACGGACACTTCAAACGGACACTTCGTCTCAGGACACACTGCCCATGAACTATAAGTGAAAGTTCGTGGCGACTCGGGCCTGTTTCATGGAGGGTTAACCCTATATGATACTATGGCACAGAACGTGTAAATCATTCGTGGGACACATGATAATAGAATTGTCAAGAGTTGATAAATGGACATAACTAGCTAATTCAGGTATTTGGTAAAGTCGCGACTTGTGCAAGAGGTGTTCTGTCGTCCCGGGATGAAGTCTAGCACTGGTGGTTAGTTGGTCTGGTGTGTTTAAGTCCCTGGGCTGGGGACAGAGGGTTCCCCCCACCTGCCTGAATTGACTCTCTCTCTCACTGGCTCACTGCGGGCGGAGAGCACGGGATAACGTTGGCCAACTATCCAGGTCACGCAAGCAGAAGGGCTGACTGACAGTGTTACTGCTACCTCCATTCAGGTGTGTACAGGGCTGGCTGAGCGCTCGCCCTCTACTCTCGGGTCTCAGGGACGTTCTGTGCCTTTCTCTTAACCTGCAGTCCCCTTACCCCCCTCAACACACGGCCTGGGTCGTGAGGCAGCCAGTACCCGGATGACTTGTAGATTTCACACCGGAAATGAACTCCTTACCACACGAGACCGAGCGAGCCCGCTACTCGGCCGACATACGGAGTTTGGCGAGTGTTTGTTTTCAAGATAAGCGCTGTAGTGCAGCGGTAACTTGTGATGTCGCACCGTTGTAAAATGCTCATTTCTCTAAGTCGACGACTATCGGAACATACGGAGGGTAACTGACATAGGGGGAAGACGTGGAGTCACTAACTCGATGTGGGAGTAAGTTAGCATGCGGCGTCAGGCCTACGGGATCGCTGTCAGGACGTCTAGTCGACTCCTGTTGTGTGTGACTGTGCTGGTCACTCTACTGTGTGCCCCAGGACCCACTAGGGCCATCAACTGTAGGATATGTCACCCAGACCAGTGCCCGCCCGTCCCCCGGGACCAGTGTCACGCGGGGGTCGTTACTGATATTTGCGGGTGCTGCCAGGAGTGTGCCAGGGCCCTCAACGAAACTTGTGGGGGCAAGTATGGTATTTTCGGCAAATGTGGCCCCGGACTGAAGTGTTTTATTTCCCCCGCTGTGGGCAAGGCTATATCAGGACAGGAGGACGGTATTTGTAGAGGTAGGTGATATGACATTATACACCTTTTATGTATTACCCAACGGGTCGTTGCACAGTATAACATGCTTTGAAAGTTGCGACTTTTCTACACTTGTTGCACACGACATAGCCTGTATTGGCAATGGATCAATGAGAGTCCTACATACAATAAAGTTTGAATTGCCGTGTTTTGTCGCGGCGACAGCTTATGTAATGCTACACACGGATGACATACAAACAGGTCCTCATTCGCTGGAATATTTGACCCACAGCTGTCGCTCCAAATAAGCCTGTTTGTCAATTTGGACCTATCCATATGAAATTATCTGCATATTTCACCAACGACCCTAATTCTGTTCGATTTCATCGACTTGTTGTGAGTGTTCGGCATTTATGCGGCTATGATAAGCCCGGTAAACAGGTTTTGTAGCCGAGTTTCAATGAGGGTATATATCTGTGTTGATAGCGTCGACAGGATACACTACAACCTCCCACACTGCGACCTGGACAAGACGGTGTTATAAGGCGAACGCGGATCTCGTACGAACACAAAGATATTCAATGTCATATTTACCACAATCCACACCTGAGGCGTGCATAGCACCTGGCGAGACTAAAACATCGTCTCACATATATACAGTAAGATGTAAACAAAAATAAACGAACATGGGTCGAGGATGGGGGGTGGCTACAACAATAAACGAAGATGAGGTAGTGTTTAGTGGCGCGGTGTTGCATTAGGGAAGGTGGTTATTACCTGAACGGTAGACCCTTGTCTATCAAACACGAATATGAGAGAAAACGGTGGATGTGTAACCTTAAAGAACGCTGAGGGTGCATAGCACTTTGAACGTACATGGATCCATTGGCTCGGCGGTGTTGTTAGTTATATATTGGCGGATTAGGTCTCGTGGGATGGCGAGAAAGGAGGGAGGGGTTTCTTCGTTATTTGAAGGGAGGCTGAAGGGAACACAACGTCGTCTGCTCGCCACAAGCAGAGACCACAACAGCGGCATGTCTTGGCTCATGGCCAAGTTCTTACGCGCGATGTCATTCAAACGTTTGGTTGGGAGTTGTGCAGTCTCAGTTGTAGACGAAGGTTGATGTTGACTCGACTCTTTTTAATTTCCGACCAGCCTCTGTCGATGTTATGATCACCGAGGCGAGGAAAGGAGACACGACCGAGCATTTTGTCTCGTCGTGTCAAAAACATCTCGGATATTGATAATACTGAGGCATACGCTAGCCATCTGTCTCGGGAATCTGGGATGTGTGAAAGTAATTAAGCATAGACAAAGGTGTTCCCATTGAATCTAACCAGGTGTGTTGAGCTTCCGTAGTGAATTTCCTGTAAAGATGGTTATTTATTTATTGGTCGGACGGTATCGGATTGTCAGAATGTGAACGTGGTCTTCGTGCTCTGATATTGTCAGCGGCGTCATTTATTAATTATAGCAATGGCAAATTTAAAACCGACTCATAACGGTCAGAGATCGTATATCCCGATTGTATTGCTTACGATATGCGTGGAATGTGAAGAATTCAAATTGTTTCATATTTATATTACCACATCCCGTTTGAGTATTAGCGCATCAAATGTCAGCGATTCTTTTGAGCTGGATCTGCGCTAGGCGACATTTATTACCAGAATATGCAAATTTAGTTCGTATTTAAAAAGGTTAATTAAAAGGGATATAAAAATCAAAATACCTGAATTTCGCCATTTTTAAAGAAAGATCGGGTAGGAAAGACAGACTTCAAGTCGTTTTCAAGGGAGGCGACGATTGTCGCTATTACGATTAAGGATATTTTTGGGGATGGTTGTCACTGATGTACATGTCTAACAAATATAAGCGTGTAGCAATTGTGAAAGTTGGTTGTTGTTTAACGCCGCACTCAGCAGTATTCGAGCTATATTGCGGGATGAAAGTTTTTTTAATATGCGTGGCCTGTGAATAAGAAGTACATGTAATCCACAGATGGAGGAGGGTTGAAATTATAAAGAAATATGCATGGAATACCACCAAGGCACGACCAGTTTTCTGATTGTCTCGTCAACGTCTTCATATTGCGATTAGGACACAATGAGGCCATCTTCTGGTGATTGATCACAAGTCCGGTCTGTTTGTTTCACCCTGGATTTCAGCTCTACTCACCATCCCTTGGGAGATCACAAGGCAGTTTTATTCTGACAGTGCCTTGTTAGAGCTTTTGTCGCGTCCCTTCTCAGCAAGACGCTCTCGACCATGATTTGGTTCGTTTGTTCTGGATTCCCTCATTTGAATATTATAACCATTTGAGACGGATAAAGAAATTAGGAGCTTCAAACTCCGTACAGGGTCAACCCGATCGCTGTGTGCCCTTTATCTGACGATTAACGTGAAGACAATCAAGCAGGGAAACGGTGAATGTAAATTTGTCGAGGCAGATATTTTTTATATTCATCTTTGCCTTTTGGGTGCTGATTGACATTTGGCTATTCTCTATAGTAAATTTGATAGCACAGCGAGACATTAAGAAACGCTCTTATGGAATATTTCAGAAGTTCGACATTCCTCTTATGCAATCAGCCGATGTGTGGTCTTGTTTCGCCTGTGTGTTTTACAGCCTCCCTTCATGGATATGGCTTAAATATATCACGCACCACCTCACTAAGCGACCCTGTTTTACAATTTTACGGAGGCCAGACTATATATAGTAGTTTTAATGTATCTCAAAACGAACTGACGTACGACTCCCACACGACAATAAATGCTACGCGTATAAAACATGTTTTGTTAGCGTTGTGCTGATTGATAAATAATTATGCTGAGTTTTTAAATGGGAAATGACATGTTTGTAGAAAGGCAGTTCCAATCTTTTTCGTACTGAAATGACACTTTTCTTCTTTTATCCGTTGGACATAAACGAGCGAGTTTTGAGACATCCAAAGATCGCTAAAATCCGGGCCCCTTTAAGGGCAACTGAGGCTTTGGAACATCCGTGATTATTGGCCCCACGCTATCGGTTCAAACCGATTAAAAACTTTCATGATGTGATATTTTGTAGTCTCCTGGCTTGAAATGATACAAAAACATGATATGGACAGAAAGAACTAAGACAGAAAGATTTCGACTATGTCTGCTATCTGTCATTTTGTCGTTAATGTGTCACAGAGCTCTACGCCATTCTATCAGTAATAAACACACAAAGGTTTGATTGACAGTTCCAGCAATAGACTCTTCTATGGGGAGTTTATTGCAAGTTAGGTTCTTGTGTTTCAAGGCCTGTGTTTAGAAATACAGAAAATGATAGTTTTATGCTTCTTGGTAATAAACATGTTTTCCTTGACATAAACTACCACCTTTTTAATTGCAGCTTAATATTTTCCTCTCGTATATATCAAATGGCTGATATGGCTGAAATGACTGCAGAGATTACTATGGGCATTTAAAGGTGTAGACTTTCACAGAATATTAAATTTTATACGTATGTCGAGGGTAGCTTTGAGTGCATATTGACAGCTATATGTTCAAACATGAAGATATTATAATTAGCTGGTTTGGTGAGATATATTTTGTAAAGTAATCAGCTTCAATATGATGTACGGTGTGTTTAGACCGACCCTCTGTGAACAATTTACTGGGTAGGTGTTAAGAGGAATGTAGGGACAGAGACTGGCTGGATATTTTTATGAGGCCTGGGACTAGTTAGGGATTGGTATGTGCCCCTTACAACATCTCTTCAGTCATTCTGTTAGCTCATTCTGTTTCTTTCAAAGAGCTGATACTCCCAGCGAGATAGGCTTGTTTTCTCTATCAAGTGGTATTTTCTATTCAGTCGTTTTCAATAGCATCTTTTTGCAGAGCCAAAGTAAACTTATGTACCTAAAATGTGGTGAGCATATGTGTTGGTAGGGCATGTTTGTCTCCACATTGTGTGGAAATTGATGTATTAGTGTGACATTGTCATCTGATGCTTTACACAGGTGTGTATGTTGTGAAATCACCTGTGTCTGGTGTCTTCACCTGCTAATTACAACAGGTGTAAACACAGGTAGCTACTTGTGCACGGGGTAGCAGGGGAAGCTGATGTTTGGGAGGCAGGGTTTGAATTGTGCAGATATTTGCTTAGCTTCAAAATGTAACCTCTGTCTATCTGAAAGTGCTTCTGTCAGGACCCCTTTCTGTCAGTACCTCCTTCTGTCAGTACCTCCTTCTGAAGCACCTCTAGGACCCTCTTGGTGGGCTTTTTGTCTTGATGCATCGGGTAATATCCTTAACAAAATTAGCTTTAAGGATCAACTCTGGTATGTGTCAAATTTCACTTTGCCCCCATTACAGATTTAATCAAGATTACATCATTGGGGACATCCAGGTAGTTGAGGGATCTTGTCTGGGGGCCACTTGGAACTGGTGATCAAATATTTAGGTTTGAGACGAGCTCTGGTTTGAATGAAAACCTGGTGATTTATGAGAGGAATGCATTTTAGAGAGAGGGGAGCTGTTTGCCTGTGATGTAGATATCTGTAACTGGTCAATATACCTGCAGGTGGTAGCTAAATGCAACAAACACTTAGTCACTGATATCACCTGTGATGGGATTCTATAGTGTTGGTGTCATACACTGCCTTAGTGTTGGTGTCATACACTGCCTTAGTGTTGATGACATAAACTGCCTTAGTGTTGGTGTCATACACTGCCTTAGTGTTGATGACATAAACTGCCTTAGTGTTGGTGTCATACACTGCCTTAGTGTTGGTGTCATATGCTGCCTTAGTGTTGGTGTCATACACTGCCTTAGTGTTGGTGTCATACACTGCCTTAGTGTTGGTGTCATACACTGCCTTAGTTTTGGTGTCATACATTGCCTTAGTGTTGGTGTCATACACTGCCTTAGTGTTGGTGTCATACATTGCCTTAGTTTTGGTGTCATACACTGCCTTAGTGTTGGTGTCATACATTGCCTTAGTGCTGTTGGCATACATTGCCTTAGTGTTGGTGTCATACACTGGCTTAGTGTTGGTGTCATACACTGCCTTA